CCCTCCCTCCCTCCCTCCCCCCCACCCCCCTCTTTCTTTCTATTCAACTTTTAAAACCTTACATCTATTCTTAGGGTTGTGTTCACCATGCCGAGGCGGTAGACACTATTCGAATTGTCTACCGCGTCGGAGCGGGGAACGCAGCCCTAAGGTAGCCAAAGCAATAAGATTAAGAGCTCGCACAAGAGAGAGAGAGGGAGAGAGAGAGAGAGAGAGAGTTTTGTTCCATTTATTATTATGAGTGTGAGAGAGAGACAAAGAGTGAGAGAGAGAAAGAAAGAAAGAAAGAGAGACTAGAGAGAAGGCTACCACAGAGAGAGAGAGAGAGAGAGAGAGAGAGAGAGAGAGAGAGAGAGAGAGAGAGAGAGAGAGGTTGAATGGCAAAATTGAAATATGGGTCAAATTGCGGCCGCGATCTATTTCACAGCAGGAATATTTTTTTAAAAAATATTGAGTGTTTTTCCTAGAAAGATCACAACAAATTTTACGAGTATTCCAATTTTCAGGTTTTTTCACGCATTCTTCTGAGCGTGAAAACTCACAGAATTTGGAATACTTTTTTAATTGGCCTACACATGGCTGAGTGGCAAAAATTGGAAAATGTGCCGAATCGGCGTGACGATTATTTCGTAGTCCAAATGATTTTTTGAAAATGTCCTAATACTATTCCTCGAAAGAACACGACCTCATCTATGGATTCTCAAAATTTCATATTTCTCTGCAGGTTCGTCCAAGCAGAGAAAATCGTCAAAGTTGCCACTTGCAAAACGTCTATTTTGTTGCGCCTTACCTCCCTGTTTTGAGAAAACGGGCCTCAACACCTGGGTTTGAGGACCCTCTTGCAGTTCACACGCCCTCACTTGTTTTTGGGGTCCGCTTCTACCCGAGGATGGGTCCAACGCCCCGCACTTCTTTTGGGGGTCCACTTCCACCCGAGGACCGGTCCTTCCTTTTTCCAAAAGTCTCGGTTCTACCAGAGCTAGCTGTAGGTAGTCCGCAATTTTGCCAAGGACCGGTCCTCCAAATTGTTTTGCCCCGTAAGAACCCACTTTGCGTCCTCGCCACCCGCCGCCAAACATGCAACACCTTGACACAAACGCCGAAACCCATTATACCACAGCCTTAGGGCTATGAATACGCGGTCTATTCGAATTGACCTCCTATTCAAGAAACGTAGACCATCGTCGTTTCGATTTCGAAATGTTCAACTCAAAGGACCGCGGCCTCCTTGGTCTCTTATGGGCAACTATTGGTCCTCCGCAAGTAAAAACTGTCCGTTCCTCGTGAATTGTCCTCCCAACAAATGCACCCCCCTTCCCGAACGGACAACCGGTAGAACGAAAGATGACAAATTATCTACCACTTGGAAGCGAGTAACGCAGCCCTAAGG